TTTATTTTCTGCAACCACAATGTTACAAATGTCTCTGTCATCACTGTTATGAAATTTTCATGGACAGCATTTGGTAGAAAACATTTGGTCTTATGACAACACTGGTTAAATGAATTACCCAAATGTGGTGAAACATTTCTTAGCTTACTCTGTCTTCCTTTTCTCCCGGAGTTCCAGGTAATCCAATGGGCCCTCTTTGTCCCTATAATGACCAAACAACATTATATATCACTTCTTCTCATACAGACACACAGAGTACTGTAATAATACACTGTGAATGTGGATGTTTCCTTACATCATCTCCCATGTGACCCGGTGGCCCCCAAGAATCTTCTGCTCCAGGCTTTCCCTGTGGAAAACACAAACAAGAATAAGGAACAGAGATAAACATTAAACAACATTAAACTGTTTAGAGGCTAAGATAAAATGATTATTCTCAGTCTCTTCTCTTGACAAGATACGTTTTGGTTTTCACTCTCTCACATACCTCTCTCCCATCCAACTGATGCACATATTGTATATGGATTACTTAAAAACCTTACAAAGCAGGTTTGTTACAGGTCATTTGTTTCCAGGAAGCTAAGGCCTATTTTATACATAATAAGGGTCATACAAGTTTTTTTTTTTTTTTATGTGGAGATTGTGTGGCAGTTACTGCCCTGCCTCTCGACAGAAATGGTACACTGTCTTTTGTCAGTGTACCAATGGTACACTGGTACATTGTCCTAGTGATGTCAGGTGATTTGTTTGATAGAAAAGAAAATTGCTACAAAGAGGAATGAATCATTTTGCTACTGCTAAATTACTACTGCCAAATGGAATAAAGAGGCCAAAAATGGTGCATGCCCCAAAAACCACTCCTCACAACCCACAATTGCTGTTATGCTGTTTTTTTGACAACAGAAACAGTTCCTCCTCTATAAACAAAGACTTCAGCAGAGAGTGACAGTACTGTGTTTGTATTAGCATCCCTACTGTAAATGTGTGCAATAACATTTGCACTTGTGTTGCATTACAAGATTTTGGATGACACATTTTACTTCACAAGTACTTAACAAATCCTCCATGCATAGTTGGAAGCTTTCACGGCTGCATAGCTTGCGTACAGTGTGAAAGAGCCATAAGAGTCTGTAGTGATGCTAATTGATGCTAATGGTTCTATGAGGCTGTACAACAGCAAAGAAGTGTTTTGAGCTACTACAATGCTCAAAATGACTATGCTAACAGGTCTAAAGTTTACTAAAATTCATAATTTTTGTTTAGTAGGTGAACATATGACAATTATTACTAAAGACAAAAATAGAGTTGAAAGTAACACCTAAGTGTGAAATTCTTTGATGTAGTAAACCTAGTCTAGGGGTTGTTGCTCAGTCCTATTCCTATGGGAAACCCCAATAAAAAAACATTAATGTTGTTATAAATCCATAAATTTTGATCAAAAACCTTCTGTTAATCCTATAATAAAATACGTCAAAGTAGAAAAGTAACACTTATGTGCGAAATCCTTTGAGGACTGTAATTACACACCATGAAAGTTGACAGCTTTTGATCTAGATAGAAATGAAGTGTGAAAGGGGGCAGAGCCAAAAAGCCATAAATCAAGTCATAAATCATCACTTCACACCTTGGTCTGACAGCTAGTGCAGTGTTATACTGTATGCTAAACATGGAAAATTACTGCTTTGCTTCTTTTACAAGCCTTATACAATGAAATAACTGTGAATACATCTTTCTTGATGCCTCTCAATAGGGACAGGAAGTTATAGAAAAGTATAGTATGGTAATATAAGAAATGTATGAAAGTATAAAATGGTTGAATTTAACTACTATTTTTTCATCAATTTTGGTTTGTAGTTTTGGCTTTCATATTGGTTAAATCATTGAACACCCTACAGGGACATTCCTCACCTTCAGCCCAGCCAATCCCGGAGGTCCAGACAGGCAGATAGCAGGACACTACAAATATACACAGAGAGGCAGGAGTTAAATGAGGCGTGAGACAAAACTGAGCCAGATCCTCAACAAGCATCGTTGCTGCAGAACCTCGTTAACTTAAATGATTGATTTTGATCAGAAATTCACAGTCACCAAACTATTTGCCATGCATCAAAGAATCTTTTGGCATTGCATAAGACAGTGAAACACTTACAGCTTCCCCACTTCCCTCACTTCCAGGCAGCCCCTATAACACAGCGCAATGACATTCAAAACAGCCACTGGGTTTTGATGTAAATTAAACACAGAAAAAATTCCCAGAGGGGTAATGTGAATAGAAACGCAAGCAACATCATCATACACTTATGATTTCACAAGGAAATCTGAGCGCAAGAAGAAATGGATGTGTCTAAATAGAGCTTATGAAAAGGGTTGCACCCATACAGTTGATTATCAAAATACAGTATGTGTCTGATAATTCTGGTCAGTCAGCTCTTATACAGTCAGTTGTAAACTGTAGGATATTGAACTAGAGCAGGTTTACATAGTCTATAAAAAGCCTATGATGACACTCCACAACAGAATGCATGGAGTACGTTAGCACTTCAGCATCTAACTTTCCCAACATTTGCTTCCACTATTCTGTACAGTACCTGTGATTTTGGCATGAAAAGCGTATGATTCAAAGTCAGTGATATCTCTAAATACTCAAAATCTGCAAGTATAATCCCCAAGTCAGTATCTGCAAAAGGCTCTCAAAGCTGTACAGGACAGTATGTGTGAAAACATGGCAGGTGGGAGATAAAGAATGAATTGGTAAATGTCAATAAAACATGGTCGATCTGGTTCTTACCACAGGCCCTGGTGGACCAGGTGGTCCTGGGGTGCCAGATGTCTCTCTGGGTCCAGGTGGACCCTACCAGTACAAAAAATAATGACTGAATCCTGTTAACACACTCGCACTGTGGGGACTCAGCCATCCTTTCGAGAATCAGAAGCTAGTCCCCACATGCAAATCATTGAATTTTAGGGTTAGGTTAAGTGTTAGGGTCAGGTTTAGGTGCTGGGCAAGAGGTGGTTAAGGTTAAGGGTTAGGGTCAGGTTTAGGTGTTGGGCAAGTAGTGGTTAAGGTTAGGATAAGTCTACAGGAAATGAATGTAAGTGGATGTAAAGACCCCACAAGGAATGAAAACTCAGGCTGTGTGACTCTGGAAAAAACAAAAAATTCTGACGAATATTTTAGTTTTCCTAAACAATGCTTTTTTTGTGAATTATCACTTTTTTTTTTATTTAGAGGGAATTTATTGATTTGGAAGGAATCCATTTTGAACAGTTAATCCCCGTACAACAAAATACAGCAAAAACTGATACTCATGTATCATTGTACATACTTATAGGTTCTTTCTTTACATTGTATATGTGGCCTCACCAGCCACTTTATTAGGTACACCTGTACAATTGTATGCACTTCAATGCAACACTTCTGCCTTAACATCTGTTTTTGAAGCTCAAAATGTTTGTTTTTGGCGAAATTGTCAAATGTATCAATTCAGATAAGTTTATTTAGGTTGTGCTGTACAGGACATTATTTTCAGAGGTGTCTTTTTTTCCTCCCCAGCTTCTTACAGGAGGGTCAGAATATTAGGAACACCTCGGAATATGATGTAGTCCAATGCTACATCATCTTTAACTGTGTCATTTTGATTTTACTTTCTTATTTTTAACGGACCTATTCATTTTGTTTACTTTGTCCTTCACACTTGTGTCTTAATGTAGACTCTGAGCTCAGGCCCGATGGGTCCTTCATCTCCTGGGACTCATGGTTTCCCCGGTGGTCCCTGTTAGGCACATACCAGTTAATACTTACCAGTTAATACTTAAAGGCATTTACTGGTACGTCACATGTAAGTTTCAGAATAAAACAAAAAAGAAAACATACAGAAGATCCTTCATTTGCTGGTGCCTGTGAAACAAGAGACAGCAAGATCTGTAGTAGGTTTAGTAGTGTCTTCATAATCCCATACATTTCCATGCATGTTATTTTAATACAAGATTTTTTTTTCCCCACTTAGGAGGACCTGGGTGTCCAGGAAGTCCCTGCAGGGAGAGAAGTAAATCAGTAATGCTGTCACTACATGCATAAGATCGTTTTTACAACTGGATGATGTTTACTCACTCTCTCTCCTACAGGCCCTCTGGGACCCATTGGGCCAGGAGAACCCTGCAGACAACAGATACACAGTCCTACAGTATCAGCATGACATCCTTTTCCCAAAACTCACCACACCAACATTTGCATTCAGTCCTACACTGTGTGATAGCCTTTATTGGTACTGACCAATTTATTCAGATAGTTAATCCTTTGCCCTGAGAATATGTCAACTCTTAAAAACCTGCTCACTGTTTTGGATTTTGATCATGTTTGTGTTTTTAGAACAGAATTAGAGGCTGAGAGAGCGCACGCACACACAAAAAAATGCATCACTGGATGAGGTGGTGTTTCCTACAGTAGCTCCTGGAAGGCCAGACAGGCTGCTCTGTCCAGGAAGACTGATCACCCCCTGTTTGCCTTTGTTGTTGAATCCTTGGTACATCCCGAATCACCTGCTATTCCAAAATGCTTTAAGTGATTCAGAGCATGTATGAAAAGGAGTTTACTGTAACAAAAGTCAAAGACAGCTTCACATTTGGCTCTATATTTACTTATTACAAATTGATTTAGAGTTTGTTACCTGACAGGACCTTTTGGTTAGGTTCTGGTGGCTTCAG